AATGGTCTAATGAGAATGAGGGGGTGGAAACTTAAGCCAGAAAATTCAAATATGAAATGAGATACACATGTTCAACTGTGAGGGTGATATGCTTTAGCCAAACACAACTTACTGAGCTTAGTTCAGAGGGAACTCAGTGAAATGTAATGGTCTGTGATATGCAGAGGGTCAGGCTCTATGATCTAATCATTTCTTCTGGCTGAAATCTCTTCATAAAAAAATCTAGTTCAACCATAACTTACGGCCTAAAGAGAGGAATTGCTGCATGAAATTCAATGACTAGTGCTTGTACAAAGTGCAGTTAGAAGTGTCCCTTCTGGCTTTATAGTCTATGGATGGATTGTGTTAAAGTAGCTTTAGGGTGCAACACATGCTGGCAAAAGCCATAACAGAAAGAAACTCCTGTTAAAGTGCTTTCAAATAGTGTAGCCTGTGGACATCATCTACGTCTACACTAGCATTTAGTGGGGTCTGACAGGAACACATTTGCCGAGTGAAACAGTTGATGATCCAGCGTCCCTGCTCCATGGGGATGATCTTTACCTTGTGCTGGCTCAAGGCTGATCCTGTGGGATGAATGCCTCTTAGCAGGTAGAGCACATTAGAGCGCATTTTTCAGTTTATGCATGCTGAGACTTCTCTGCAGTGTAACCCAAAGCATGGTAAGTGGGGATGAGGAGGAGATTCATTACAAAAGAATACTCTCGATCCAACAAAAGACATTAATATGGACTAATCCTATAGCAGATTTAACTTTAAAAACTGTGCACATGCATAAGATTTTTCATACATGTCCAGCATATACAATAAAGCAGTGTGCTCTTACTTTCCTCAGTAAGCCTCACTAGTTGGCTGTTGACTGGTGCATGTTGAACTCGTTCAGGCTGAAGATGAACTTTCTTACTGCAATATAATAACCAAAATGCAGTAGTCATATGCTGCAGTCATCTTGCAGGCAGAATGTGGGAGCATGGAGTCTTTCAATGAAAAGTTGTGATGCGTACTAGGAAGATACATTAGCTGTACATTTCCTTTTTTTAAAGGTCTTGTAAATGTGAGAGATGTACCAGAAATGTATGCCTTGTTTTGAACTAAGATAGTTCTGTGTGTCAATTTAGGAGGTGGTATATAAATTTGTTCTGGTGACAGCTCTGCAATGGGTTGTTCCACAGAAGGCAAAGGGGCTAAGTGCCTAGAAGAGCTCCAGATGTTATTGATTTTTTTCTTGTTATTAGCAATTACTCAGTTGGAATCATCTAGCAGTTTTTCTTCTTAGTAACAAACTGTGGAAGAGTCAGCAGGATCATGACCAACCAGGCCATGAAACTTGCCAGAGGTAAGAATGTGTACAAGCTTAAAAAGAGGAAGCATTTCCAACAAATGCTGGTTTGGATTTACTCTTATAAAGAAGGATTTTTTCCTACTATGTCTGTACTTAGCCAGTGTCAGTTATATTCTTCAGAAACTGTAATATTCCTTTGCCTGTATTTTTATTGCCTAAGATACTGCTTCATCCCCAAAGTCATACTTTATATTTTAAACTGTTTGTCTTTTAAGATGTATTTATTGCCATGTTTGTTTAACTTGGTTATCTCCTTCATCAGTCTATTTCTTGCTAGCTTAAAGCTGCTGCTCTTTGTTTTTAGTATAGAAAGCTGCTTCCCTAGGGATGTATAGTCCAGGACTTGTCTCTGTAATGGGACTATTTGTTTTCTTTGCCCCTTGCAGTTGCCTGCTGTAACATTTGTAGTATGTGTTAAGTAATCCTTGAGGTAACATTTTTATTATGTCATAAAAAGTGCGTGGCAAATATATAATAACTCATGGAATTTGTTTTTTTAAAATGGAAGGATAATTTATTGAGTGTGTTACATGAGACCTGCTCCCCCTTATTAGAGCTGTAGAAGTGCAGCTTATTTAGAAGTATGTTCTATTGAGAAAAACCACGATCTCTGACATACATAGAAAGTTTGAGCATGGTTGGGTAGAAATGACATCATAGTTTATGTACTCAATAAAAATTTAATTAAGTCATTACAGAAGTTGCAGTCATCATTTAACCCTCTGATTTCTTATGTTTAGTTCTTTTTTTAAACATTCAGTAATAGCCAGTCTCCAAATCTTGATAGCCTATAAAATATCTGCATGAATTTTAATAGTTTATATTAATGGGAAAATATGAGTAACTGACATAAAAGGCATTTTCCTTGTGTTTGCACAATATGCATTTCTATAAAAATCAACAGATGAAAAAAGATAGTGGTTTAATGGAAGAATGTTTGAACTGGTGACTTGCTAGCATGGCAAAAACTAATTCATATTTTGATAGAAAAACTGTTGCATAATTACCAAGGTGAGTAGTCTTAAGGGTACTAAGAAAGTATTTAGGACATGTGGTTCACACTGTCATAAGTATTAAGATTTTAAGTATGTGAGTTTTCACAGCTTTTAGCCTTGTGATAAGCTGTACATCAAAGGCAGCTGTGCTCATTCCATCTTAGAAGTGATGTCCAACCCTGTATTCCTGTTTGCAGTTTCTTTTTTCTAAAACCTGTCTCCCAGATGCAGTCTCATACGTAAGTGTCCAGCTAGTATGCAGGTATGAAGGTAATTACCCTTGCCATTTATACTTGCGTTGTATGTGAGAAAAGAAATGCTGAGTATCTCATAGATCTCTCATGAGAGTCAATACAACGAAGCAGCTTTACCACTCTGAAGTGTAGCTTAGCCCTCGGGAGAGGCACTGTTTATTAAACCATTTTGTTGATAGAAGTAAAAGGTACAGGCAGAAGGAATAGACAGGTTGTATGAGGGAGATGCACGCGAGGTATTTTCAGCCCATCCCTCTGGACCTAGCAGTTGATCTCCTTTTGGTTCTGCCTTAAGCTCACATGGGATCAGTTCTGCAAGCCAATGGGTGGCTTAGGCCAAACCAGCAAATATTTAAGCAACTGTTAAATTTAGTTAAAAGCCAGTTTGGAACTTGGACTGAGTCACACTTACACTATAGGGGGAAGTAGCTGGATCATCAGAAACTCTGAAAGAAATTTAGTCAGTCAGGTAAGTCTGAGTGAGATGCTGTAGAAACAGAATTTATGTGATTCCTGAATGAGAAAGTCAATATTGACAAGTAAGGAAGGAGTAGTGGTAGGGATGGTGCCTCTATCTTTAGCATTACCGTACTTTTACTGTAATAGCACGTCCAGTTCTGGAGACCATGCTTTAGAAGAAAAGTTGAAAAACCTCCAAGTTTCTCAAAGACCTGTGTGAATGACTCAAGGTCTGGAAAACCTGCTTAATAGATAAAATACAGCGGAGCCTTCATTATCTTAGCCTGTGCTGCCACGGAAAGGACAGCCTTGCCTTCGCTCTTTGCCCAGCTGCCTTTTTTCTCTGCTCAGGTAGCTATATGTCAGTGCTGTTGGCTGAGGATTTTTCTGCCATTCATATATTCTGAGTAACACAGACTTTCATTTGTGTACAGAATTAACAGAGCTGTGTTGCATGTTGTTCTCAAATGTTTGACTGCACTAACATTGTTACTTGCAGCCAAATCCTAACCTATGTGGGCCAAGGCCCTGTTTCTTCTTTGCCTACTCAGAGTGAAATTAATAATATTTTCTCATCACCTCCTCCTTACAGTCTATACAGATGGTGTTCTGGTTTATTTTTCAGATTAATTCTGTTGTTCTAAAGGAAGATCTGAGAAGTATGGCAGAAAATTTCTACGCAGCTCTATTTGGATATGATGAGGTAAGAAAGATGTTCTCAGAGAATATGCAAGAACAAATAGACCATCTAATTCATGAACACAGAATACTCTAGATGGGTAAAACATTTTCTGTACATATATGTGAAGAAATGTTACATTATGGAAGCAGAATTCTTAGTTATTACAATCATCTTATGCCTTGAATTAAAGTGCTTCTGAGAAAAAAGAAAGCACATGGCATATAGATTTAAACCATAGGACATGGAAGGAGGGATGTTCTTTGTACTGCTTCACCAGCACTGCTTGACCATCGATAACTCATTTCCTCCCCCTGAATCCCATTGTACTCAGCTATACTTTGAATGCAAAGAGTATTTATAGCGAGTCTATGTGAGAAGGTATTCATAGGAAGTAGCTAATAAGATGAGAGGCAAAAGCACCACTGTGCACAAGTGTCTGCAGGGCTTTCAAGAAGAAAATACGATTACATCATCTCTTTTAGTTATTTTTTTTCTCTAGTGGGTGTTGCTCTTCAGATGCTCTTACTCACATGGTGATACTATTTTTTGCATGGTGATTTGCATTATTAATATATTGTAAATGTAAACTTCATAGAGTTGTGGACAGTGTTATGCATACAAGTCTTTAATCTAGTTTTAAGTATAGCCAGGATATGTCTGCCTGTGTTTGTCTTTTTTTTCCTTTTCTTTTTTTGTTAACACTCTTTTTGGAAACAAAATGTGTAGTTAAATTAAAGACAAATGTTGACCTTTTTCATTTTTAACTGAATATTTTGAAGTCCTCCTTTGCCTTTGGCACATAGTCAGCAGAAGGCATGAGTTATGAGACTATGGTGATAACATCACATAATCTACAAGGACAATAAAAGTGGGAGAGAATTTAGACTAAAACTGCTCATGGATGTGGTTCTTGTATAAGCCAAATTTAATATTAGATTTAGCTGGAAAAATCTAGATAGTTCCTGAGGAGGAGTTCTCTCTTTCACATTTAGAATGAAAAATAGAAAAGCAAAGCAAAATAGCAAAGTCCTGACTACATTTCTACAACATTGTATTAAATATCCATTAATTTTTCTTTTCCAAGTGTCATGGGCTTCATACAATGCTGTGAGGTGGTGCCATCTTCTCTGTAAGGCCAAAATTTTTATGGTAAAGATTTCATAACATAGAAATGCAATTATTGGCTCGTACATTAGGAATACCCTGACCCAGTTTTTTTCCCAATTAACTTGCCAGAGTATTTGTTACAAGCTGCTCTGTAAATTAATTTAAGGCCAGTGTTGTTTTTCCATTCTGGGAAAGTGTGATGTTCATGCCTTTTCATATGTACAGTCCATAGCAGCTGTGGGCTTTGAGACAGCTTAATATTGTCAGTCGCCAAGTAGAGTAATGTGGTTGTCTTGTGTTCAGACCCTTTTCACATGCAGCTTTTAATCCCCTTCTGTATTTCCTTTAGGGAATCTTGTCTGATGATCATGTTCTAGCAGCAGCTCTTTGGAGAAACCTTTTTAACAGGAACTGTGAGGACCCTCGGCATCTGGAGTTACTCGTAGAATATGTGCGCAAACAGGTACACTGCAGCTCATAGTACGACTTCTCTTCATTCTCTGTTTTCAAATATTGAATATTTACTTTTATTGCTTGCATACTATGTAGTTCAGTTCTCCTCATAAATATAACTGATTTTTGTATTCAGTGATTATTTTTAGGAGGAAAAGGTAAAAATTTAAAAAATGCCTGATGTTTACTGCAATTTGCTGAAAAATGGCTGCAGAGGAATTCACAGAATGTTGAAAGCAATCTTGCTTATCCTTTTCTGGATCTATGCTGTGGAGGGGCTTGACAAAATGTGTCAGAAATGGGCTGCAACTTGTTGTAGAATTATAACTGGGATCCTCTTCATTATGAAGAAGCACACAGAGCTTGAAAGTCTCCTGAAGATCTTTCTGGGAAAGTAGTAAAAGGTTTTGTTTTCCAGAATTATTTCTGTTTCTTTCAGTTATTACCTGGAGGAACCAATATTAAGTAGTGTTTGTGCTCTCAACCCTTAGGAGGTTTGTGAACCAGGTTTTTAGGAAATGTTGGTAGGATATACCAGGATATAGTCCATGTGGGTACCAAAGACAGAAAAGGGGTGAGAGATGTTTTAGAGGAAGAGTGTAGGCTGTTGGACAGGGAATTGAAGACCAGAACCTCTACAACAGCATTCTCTGTAATGTTTCTAATACTATGTTCAGGACCAGATAGAGATTTGTAGAGAGAGTATTTCAGTGTGTGTCTGAGAAAATGGTATGGGAAGTAAAGGGCTGAACATCGTAAGGGACTGAGGGCACTTTTGGAATGCTTGAGGGCTTCTCAGGAGGGACAGACTTAATGCTTAAGGTTGCTGATGCTTAGTATCAGTGAGGCTATAGGAAAGCTTAAAACTAAAGATTGTCAGGGAGCAAACAGGTATAAAAAGTATGTCATTTGGGACAGTTTGCTGCCAAGTGGGGAATTTGTTGCACTTCTGTATGTTCAAGCAAAGGATAGGACAGAAGCAATCAGCAGTTGAATAGGAGACTGATCACACAGATACATATGGGCCTTTGGGGAAGAATCAGCATAGCTTCTGTGAAGACAGGTCATTCCTGTAGACAACTCTGAAGTGGTGCACTTGAGAAAAACAGTCCCAGCTTTACATACATATTGATGAGCTCTAAACTGCCTGTTACCACACAGGAACGAGTCCTTGAGATTATAATTGGATTATCAAAATGTCAACTCAGCATTCTGTAGTGTTTAAAAAAAAATAAAACAAATGCTCAGAACTAATAAGGAAGGAATAGAGAATAAAATAGTGTTGTCATGCCACTTTTTAAATCCATGTTACCCTTGTGATCTTGAATAATGTGTATGGTTTGGGTTCCAACCATCAAGAAAAAAGAAAGATTAACTGAAACGGCTCCTTCATTAGCAATGAGTAGGATCCCCTGCCTGAAAAACAGCTGAGAGAAAATGAGAGACAGCTCTGAGAAATCTTGGAAGGCATATGAAAGGTGAGCAAGGAAAGGCTGATCACTGATAAAAGAATGTGGGGGCATAACATTGCCCCTGGTTGTTTGGGATGCTACAATTGGATGTGGGTTCCAAAGCCACTGGCAAGGTTTATGGAAGAGAAGTCTGTCCAGGGCTATTAAATCCACAACAACCATTTTGGGCTCAAAATCCCTGAACTAACAAATTTTGAGAGGGAGGGAAAATAAACAAGGAAAATAACATTGTATGCATGTGTTGTACTTGACTCCTCCTGGGGAATCTGCTGATGATGACACTCAGAAACAGGATATTGTGCTTAGTTGGCTGTTCAGCCTGACCCTCTGTGGCCATTGGTTTATTCTTTCCTCTGTTGAGAAACTCCATGTCAAATTATCTTTTGTTTCCAGTAAGCATTGTGTACAAGGTCTTTCCAACAATTTCTTGCTGGTCCTGTCTTTAACAGTGGCTATTAGTGGATGCCAGAGAAGATTATAGTAACAGGGCAAGCATGTGTACCATTTCCCTGGTCAACTCTCCTTGCAATCTGTGTCCACAGACTTCCTGAGCCAGTGGTGGTGGTTTTGTCTT